TAGGTACTGCATTTAGAAGAACAAAAATTCCGGAAATGCAACGCATGGCACGGACGACATTTAACAATATTGTGCAATAGATCCATATTCTTCTATTAGTCTATCAACATATTTGTAGCAAATTGCTGATTTGTGGAGTATTAAGTGTCAAACTTGAATAAGTCTTGTCCAGTCTTTAGCTGAGCTAACTTATTGAGGTTGAATTATGGGGATACAATTCGTTTTATGCACTACTAAACAACTATATATTCGGCCTGGTGTTAAGGTGATTCCGTGTAGAGTCCACAAATGGCCACCACGTAGGCATTATATGCACTTCCACTTCAAATTTTCAATTACACACATCTCGGAAGTTAATGCTCCATTTCACCTAAAATGACTACTTCATGTATGTTGCAGTACATCAAACGTGGAGTAACAGTATCATTGTTGTACGTATCGTAGAAGCTGATATTTTTGCACTCAAAGTTTCGAAGTGGTCACGAAAATAAGGATCTCCCAGCGAAACACTTTAATCAGCTTTGTACAACTTAAATCAACCAATAATCAGCTTCTGTTCTTACTGCACAGCTTGAATTGTTACTTGGGAAGTACCTTTAAACCAGACGAAATGGTCGATTAAACTTTGATTGAAAGGAGTCTTTTAATCATTAGTTTAGCTTAAAATTCAGCGAAGAAACGCTATCAAAGTAGGATAAAGTGGACACACACTTATAAATGCTTACCGACTTCGATAATTTTTACCGAACTTTCAACAGCGGATCTGTTCGTTAAAAATCAGGCATTATTATTCGTTAGTTTTAAAGCTTCAAAACTAGGCAAACTTCACCGCAATGGCAAGACTCCATTAATTAAACAAGGCTGACAGTGTTTTGAAATTAAAATTTATAGAAACAGCATTTGAATTGAGTTTTAAAAATTTACTGCTGTTCAAAGTTCGGTAAAACATTACCAAAGTCGGTAATAATTTCTAAGTGAGCACACTTGAATCCCTGTTTTAATTTTGGATATATCTTAGCGGACAAATCAAAACATGGTGCGGTTTTCAAACAGGCTCTCTGGAAATATAAGGGGCTGTTCATAAACTACGTAGGGAAGGAGTTGGCAAATGTATATGGTCCATACAAATTTCTAAAAAATTGTATGGACGGTTATCAACGCAGTGGGAGGAGGTCTGAAACATCTCAAAAACTGTCTACGTGGTTTACATGCAGCCCCTAAGGTATTTTTAATACTTCTCTAAAGTCTTCAAAGTTTTCTATACCTTCTGTCATGTTGAACAAATTAACATGCATTTTTGTTAGAGAGAATTGACTCAGAGAACTTCATATATTCATTCCTGAGAGTCCGTTTTTATGATTTTTTTTAACCAGAAAACGCTGATTTAAAACTTAGGGGAAACTCGACTTGCTTCTTATAATGTGCATTTCAATATTGAGTTTTACACACATTCAGGAATCGAGTTTGCGTAATTTTTGGGAAATCAGATCTTCCCAAACGGCTGTGCCGGTGGTGTAGTGGTAACCGTGATTACCTCTCACCCCAGCAGGCCTGGGTTCAATCCCAATCGGCGCCACCGGGATGTTCTCAGGGATACCATCTCTGATCACGCCTTCCTTCGGAAGGGAAGTAAAGCCGTTGGTCCCCGGTTCATGAGTTGATGAGTCGATAGGTAGGGTCCAGGTGTAGGAGCTGCCTCTCTGGCGTCGGTAGCATTGGTGCTCAGCACGGAAAACAAGATCGACGTAAAACAAATCGATGAAAAAAAAAGGTCTTCCCCAACAAAGATAAAAAAACAGCATCAATCCAAGGATTTTAATTCAAAGCTTATTAAAACATTAATCTGTAAAACTTAGAGGTTGAATATCGTAAAAGTAATGCCGATACAAATATCTTAACAAAAATTATGACCCCATGGCCCCACAAACATGTCACACAAAATATCAAGGGGTACAACGAATATTAATTTTCAATTTTCAAGCGAAAGCTGATGTTCTGCAAAAAATTGCTTCGCTAAAACCAAATTCCTAAGTCACCTTTAAAAGTTGTAGAAATGCTTTGGGAGGCCATGTTTCAATTTCCCCCCCCCTCCCATTCCATGATTTGTAATGTTTTATTTTTATATTTATAACAGCCTTATCAAGAATGTTCATGCTGGCTAAAAAAAAGTTTTGGGGAGTGAAAACATAACAACTGCTCTCAAAACTATATACGTTCCTATATCTGATGCTTATGTCACCACAAAATTACCTTCCATTCTGTTGAAACTTACCCGAAAATAATCCTTTTTGTTATCAAAAACGACACATTTATGAAAAAAGGCTTGTTTGTGTGCGTATTAGACTCATGCAAAATTTGAAATTTTTGCACCACCGTGTTCAAACGGTTCCAATTTGATTTCTGATTAGCCTTCCAAAATTTGAAGTCATTTAGTAAGAAACTGGCTTCACACAAACCATTTGAAGTTTATATGGAAATTACTATGGGAAAACCAAATTTTGTATTCATATCTATCTAATAATTAACCCTATTACTCTACTGTAAAAATTGATAGCTGTACTTGTAGTAAATTTTCCCAGCTACAACTTCGTTGAAAATTTTTCGATAAAATGTAAGGATCTCCAAAAGTTATTAATTATTGAAGTCACTATTGTCAAATGATCATGCTCAATCAACTGCTCAGCAGGCAACATTGGTGTTTCTGGCGCGTAGAATAGAGCAAAACATCATAGCTACTATGCCACACTGCAGAATACAGTGTTGCCCACAAAACAGTTGCTTGATCATGCCATAAGATTATCAATCTCTTAAACAATTAATAACTATTTAATTTAATGTTTGGCTGAAAAACATTATTGCGCAAAGTAGTAGCTGAGAAAATTTTAACTGTGCAATTTGGAAGAAAGATGGAAGACTACGAAGGAAAAAGTTTGGTTCCCCCATAGTAATTCCCATAAAAACTTCAAATGGTTTGTGCCCAGTCAGTTTCTTACCAAATCAGTTCAAACCTTGGGTGGCTAATCCAGCCCCGATTTGGAACCGCTTGAGCACTGTGGAGCGAAAATGTCAAATTTTGCATCAGCCTAGTGTGTATTCATTCTAATAGCCACTGGCTGGCAGTGATATTATGGAAGAAAATTGATTTCAATAATCCTTGAATTAACAATTTAAAGCAGCTTTAGTACGGGTTAGTTAGTTAGAATGTGATAGCTCTACTTTTGATCCAACAACCCATTTCAGAATGCCTGTAAATTCACGTCCATTCCGAGGTCACTTCAACATACAATAAACCCCGCATGTAAACACTACCGTTATCATATTGATAACGGTACTGCAAACACACTTCCACACTTCACGTTTCGAAATCCGGCACGTAATTAGTATTATATGCATAAATAATTAATTTATAATAAGCTAGATCTCACCAAATTCCACCTCCGAAATAGCACCGGTTCGCTCGTGGTAATCTTCAATACTCTTTGGATCAATTTTTTTAAATAACCAAACACAGCACTAATAAAAGCTCTCAAAATTATTGACAAGATTTCCGGGTGTCCAAAATCCTCCAACTAAACGAACTCCTTAATTTTTGGCCTTAAATTTTCAGTACACTCCGTAAAATCTTGGAAAATAGAGCAGCAGGAAATACAAAACACGTCAGTTTCAATGCACGGCCTACCTCGATTCAATTTCTGGAAAAAAAAGGCTCTTTTTTTTCCCTAGATTTGTTTTCCGTCGATCTTGTTTTCCGTGCTGAGCACCAATGCTACCGACGCCAGAGAGGCAGCTTCTACACCTGGACCCTACCTATCGACCCATCAACTCATTAACCGAGGACCAATGGCTTTACTTGAAGGAAGTCGTGATCAGATGTTATGCCTCAGTCTCAGAACATCCCGGCGGCGCCGACAGGGATTGAACTCAGGCGTGCTGGGGTGAGAGGTAATCACGCTTACCACTACACTACCAGCGCCGCTGAAAAAAGGCTCTATGCAAATTGATTTTCTCTATGTCAAAAAACTGCCCAATTGAAAATTGAAAATGAAGCCTGGATATATGTATAAAAAACCACGCACAAAATTCCCGATTTTGGCAACATAAAATTGACACCTGTGCCCTGCCGTGTTCGGTAATTAGGCGTCAATTTCGGTCGTTTGAATAAATTTCAAATAATTGCATGAAATTAATGTATGCTAATTGTGAAGTTATTTTTTTTTTATATTATAGTCACTTTAACGCTCTTGGGTCATTCGTGACTTGTCATGGAGTGAGATTTGAACTCGTGACTTTGGTGCAAGAGGTATGGATTCTAACCACTACGCCGGGGTCGCCCCCTGTGAAGTAAATGAATTCCTACTAATTCAATAAATCAAGAAAATATCTAATGACGGTTTTGTTCGAATCACCGAACCTGCTTCAAAAATGGTTGCTGGTTCACTGCAAGTTGATGTAAGTATTTACTACAATTACAGACCCGTCGTGAAATATCTGCACAGGATGTAAAAAATTAATATGCATTTGCCAACATGTAACGTTTATACAAAACAACGTGTAGTTGTCATTCAGTTTTTCTTAGCAGTTGATCTTCATCAACATATAATCACTTACATCCAATTTAAATATGACACGTTAAACTTCTTGTTAGATTATGGCAACAAAAACTGATCACTTTCAAACATCCGATTGTTTCCACTGTTCGCCAGTAACGTAACACCATCAACTATACTTCACTGCTAATGGTTTTGCGCTTGCCGACCCTCCCCCGTCTTTCCATTTCATAACTCGTCGCTATTTGCTTAGCTGAAACCGTTAAAACAGTGGAATCGTTTTCCACTTTTACTACCACCCAACATAATTATGCATGAAAAGGGAAGCGAGCGTTTTCGGGGCATAACCTGCCATAGTCGTCGCTCGCTGCTTACGAAAACAAACATCGTTATGAATTAATTAACCATTAATTAACACTGCAAAATCAAAATAGAAAAAAAACGCAAATTCACCTTCTTCCGTGAGAAATGTCGATCTTTCTCGGCTGGGAACGATGCCGTAAGATGCGGCCCCCGGTTCCGGATGCTGTCTCCCAAATTGGCACTTCGATCACCGCAAAATCCACCGCCAAAATTTCACTGCTTAAACACCGACTACGATCGCCAAAAACAGAATAAGCACTACTGTTTCACCTCAATCCACTCCGCACTAATTACCCTACGGAACTAGCAAATTCAAAATTCGCAAAGCTGCAGATTGCTTTCCACTCGAGTGCACTACTAGATTCGGTCCAGTCACGCGTGACCAATGGAACAAGCTCCTGCACGCTCTGTTCACCGTGTCCAATCGCACGGTTCTGCCCGTCTAGCGATGGCGATAAGTTCTACTGATAGGGAGGGGGAAAACCTCTCTAGAGTCCCTGCACGGTGTTTGCGAAAACCGATCCGATTCACGGCGAGTCCAGCGAAAGAATGAATCGAGAATCTCGACCTGAGTCTGCACCAAGATCACTTGGGCCCGCCACCGCCGTCAAGATCTCCGGCGCGCGACTTTGAGAACAACAACCAGATCAACCAAGTTCGCGAAGAACGCTACACACACTTTGAATTGAAAGGAAATCCCAAAGAAAAAAAAGCAAGTACACGAAAGTAAGCAACGAAACACACGAAAGAACCAAAAGACAATAAAGCAACTGCACGATGAGCCTTAAGAAATGTGCGCTGCCACGGTAAGGTTTGCAAGACGCGCGCGCTCGGTGAAGGCACACGGATGTAGCTTAGATGAGCTTTGGAAAGAGACTGAGAGGTGGCTCATTACGGCGCGTTAGTTTTATGTTTCTTAATCGTTTTCGAGCCTTCGCCAAGTAACATCTCTCGCTCTGTTGTTGTAGCCAAGGTGCACACCACTCCGTTTGCTGGCGCTGGGTCTCGTCGGCCAGTTCTTGGGTCGGCATGGCACTTGACAAACCCCAAATAACTGACCTTTCGCCGGCACCTACACAGTGTTACTATTCCAAGTAACAATTTTGGATTTATGTGGGTTCTGTAGAACATGATTTACACTTGTAGAACTTGTACATGGGTAATGTCACGTGGAAAAGGGAGCATTGGATTAGCTGTTGCAGTAATTTTTACATTACCATTCTTATTAGTGGAACGCATGTTTTTTGTTAACTTCTGCCGTTAAATTAATGCTGTGAGATCGGACATCGAATTTTTATAAATCAGTGTTTTGTAATGTTCTGATATGAACTTGTGATACACAAAGCAATTCACACCTTTTATGTTGCTTCAAGCGATCATAAAGATCAAATTAAAAAAAACTGCCACTCACACTACCATATATCATTATTATGGCCAGCTATGGAAATGTAATATTGATACGATGAAATGCTCCTTAAATCTTATGCAAATTCCACACGTATCAATATGTTGACGCGAAGGGGATTTACTGACAATCACATTGATGATGTGAGTAAAGAAATATTGTCATAACAGATATATTGACGTCAGTATAGAATGTGTTGACAATACGAATATTGTCAATATAAGCAATCGTGTAGGGGTCACTTTAGAAAAATGCCCTTTTACTGCGTAGCTACTCAAAATGACTGTCCTACCCGTGTTGTTTTTTAATCACAGGCTGCTGCGGAGCTACAGGCAAGCGTCTAGAATGAGCTTCCATTAGAAGCTTCTTTAAGAATCTACTTTGGAAGCTTCGTTTAGAAGCTTTTTATTTAGAATCTTCTTCAAGAAGCTTATTCTAAGTGCTTGCCTGTCGCTCCGTTCATCTAATTAAACAAAAAAGTAAGAGGTTGTATCCAAGACACGACCGTAGATATGACGTAGGATTACAAAAAAGTGATGTGACAGCAAAATTATAGTGTATATTAAATTGATTTATTAACTCGTTATCAGTGGAAAAGTTCGTTAGGTTTAAATTCGGAAGAAATTCTGTTGTCAATTTGAGAGTTCTGTTTGTGAGGTGCTCTGGCGATGTTTATGTAGTACAAGACAATCCTGGACGATACGTCTTGGATTCAAGCTCTTACTATTTAGCTAACCCTTTTATCAGTCATTTGTGGTCCTGAAAAGGACCGATGGAAAAAGGAAGCTTGGAAGCTAGTTTAAAACAATGCACACTGGGGACAAAATCGAAACAATGTGTTAAAATTCAATAACTTCGGTGCTCGCTGGAATAAGACACTAAAAAATTGTCATTTTATAGAAAAAAAAAGTCCCAGAAATCGATTGGAGTGGGTTTCATCTCGGGCACGATAGGGTAAGTTGGGGTTTTTCACAGTTTTGCCCTAAAATCTCCTATTTTGCATGATTTGAATGCTGTATCTCAAGATACCGGAGATATAGACGGATGATTTTTTGGGCAAAGTTGATCAGGAGGTCAAGGACTGTTGGATTATGGATAGAACAATTCGGGATTCTTCCGCTAGGTGGCGCTAGTGAGCATTCGAAGTGAATATGTTTGCGCTGCTGTATCTTATGATCCTGACTATTTAGACGGATGATTTCTTCGGCAAAGTTGATCAGGAGGTCAAGGACTGTTGGATGATGGACAGAACAATTCGGAATTCATCCGCTAGTTAGTGCTATCTATGATCTTCTCTGGCTATTACGTCCCAACTGTAACTTAACGCCTGCTCTCAACTTAGTGCTCTAGATGCACTTCCACAGTTGTTAATTGAAAGCTTTCCAAGCCTGTTCGATTTTTACATGTGTATATTGTTTGGCAAGTACAATAATATACTATGCCCAGGGAAGTCGAGAACTTTTCCAATCTGAAATCCTAGACCAACCGGGATTCGAACCCAGCCACCTCCAGCATGGTTTGCTTTATAGTCGCAGGCTCTACCGACCGAGCTTATGGAGGCCCCCTGATCTATGAATGTAATCAAACAAAAATGCGAGATGGTAGCCTAATTAACAAGTTTTGAGGACAATTTGGTGAACCTATAACGTCTTAAACATATCGAATTCAAACGTAAATAATGTGTATGATATGTTTAACCCTGTTTAGAGATGTTTTAATACAAAGGGCTTTGAATCAGTGAACCTGGATGAGAATTAGAAACTTTATAAACATGTCTTTATAGGTTTTGTCGCTGAGGACATCGTGCAGTTCATGGTTGAGCCAGTAGATCAAATAATCTGAACTCCAAAGCAACTTGGAGAACCTAGAACATCTCATACACCATCAATTACAACATAAATGATGTGCATTATAGTCATGGACCTGGGTGCATAAACTTGCAATAATTATAAAAAAATGCCAAATAAATTTTCATTCTGTTAAAAAATGTCAAAATTAAGTGGAAAATATGAACCTTGCTGTTTAAAACCTTTTTTTGAATTTTCAACATTCTTATATGGTGGACGTCACTTATCCGTAGAAACAGTGAAAACATATTACTCTTTCTCCGAAAATTTATGGCTACGTCACTTTGTCTCCAGGCTTCCAAAACACATTTTTATCACGAAGAGAGTGTTTTCTGGTGTATCTTAGGGTATAGATTATGAATATGAAGAAAAGTGAAAATTGACCATGGTGGCGTTTACGTCACTTTGTCATCTCACGGCAATAAGGACCTTGTACCGGTTATGACTGACCTGGTACATTATTTGATCTGAGATCAAGGACAATTTGGTGAACCTTGAGCATCATATGTACATCAAACTGATCATGAGCGATGTACAAAACCTCTTTGAACATGTTTGAGCAAGTTTCGACGCTGAGGACATTGTGCAGGCCGTGGTTGTCAAATGTTCTAAACTACAGAATGCTTTGGATGACCTAGAACGTCACTTGAGCTTCTTATATACATCCACATAGATCAAAAACGATGCGCAGTAACTCCTTGAACATGTTTGGGCAGGTTTCGCCGCTGAGTTATTTTGCAGGACATTATCAAAAAGTGATGACCGGGTCATAGAACTTGTTATCAATTTGATATTTTACTTTGCTCGGGGTTATGATTACATAGATCGCTACGGAAGAGCTTCAAAATTGGTCATACAATTCCGGAGATACGGCCGGAACAAGTTCTTAGTGTTTCAGGGAAAATAACCAGCTTATGAGTAAGTTCAAAACCCATCATGCGACACAATAAATTACATCAGAATTCGAAAACAAGTTCAATAACAATGATATCTAGTACCCTGAACCAGATTTGCTGAATCCGGATATGTTCCGGGTTGCACCGGGGAAGTGGCCAGATTTGACTTTTTTAAAATCAATCATGTGCCACATCAAATGACGTGAGAATTTTTAAATAAGATCATTGGTAGTCATATTGAGTGTAAATAGGGTCAGACCATAGGTGAATAAATTGGGATTTTTCCTATACATATAAGCAAGTTTGGTCTCTTAATATCCATTAAAATATAAACTACAGTAATGACCTGATTTTATCAGTCCCTTCACGCATTTTTCTTTTAATGTTCAGTAATTTCCTATATCCATAATTCGAAATCTTTTCCATTAATCTTCTTGATCGATGTTTAGGGTAAACTTTGGTGCAATAAAACTATTGAAATAGCGCATCCGTTTCGTAGAATATTAGAAAATATTTTCAAAAAGGGGGCTGATAAAATCGGGTCATTATTGTAAATATTATATCTTTAAAAAATTCCACCGGCTGGAGCGGGAATCGAACCCTCACTCCATGGCACACGCAAAATAGCTGTTAGACGGGTGACGCCGCTAACCACTCGACCACGAAGACCACTTTGACGCGAAAATGTCGTCATCGAAACCCATTCAAAAAAAATATTTGTTTATTCTTGTTTCTTGCGTGACAGTAGCTCAGTGTAGTGCAGTTCTTACGTGGAGTTAAGTGTGTTTCACTGAATTTCATTAAGCAAAATGCTGTCAAATAAAAATATCGTTGAGGAATATTTTGCGTCTGGTCGAGATAAAAACCGTTTACTTGACTTTGTGTCTAGGGCACTGTCAAAAGTACCTGCGGCTGTTGCGCAAGGTGTTAAAAACTGGATTGGTCAATTTAATCGGCGATGGTCAAAAACCCACAGTAAGGATCGGTTCTTTAAGAAGAATGCAGAGTGGCTTGAAAGCATATTCGAGGTAAGAATCCCTGGGCGTGCTTAATTTTAGAAAGCAGCATAAATTAACGAAGAAACGTTTTTAATACGATACCGTCGAAAATTAACAGTTCGGAAAAATTGTACCTGTTGAGTGAAGTGCTAAATTTTCAAAAACAACGGATTCCAAACCAATTTAAATTGAACTTGAATGAAAATTAGTAAAAGCGTGGAAATGCTTTAATGTAAAGCAAGACATACTACTGATGAAATCTGGTTTTGTTCATGTTACTAAATAATCAATAGCATCAACCGCGATTAGAAGAAGATTTGTCTTTGATATTTGTATGAATATTAAAAAAAAAAATCCTAAACAAAAACTACCGACTCTAAATTTTACGAAAAAACATCCAACAGTCCTTGACCTCCTGATCAACTTTGCCGAAGAAATCATCCGTCTAAATAGTCAGGGTCTTGAGGTACAGCAGCACAAATATATTCACTTTCAATGCTCACTAGCATCACCTAGTGGAGGAATTCTGGATTGTTCTGTCTATCATCCAACAGTCCTTGACCTCCTGATCAACTTTGCCGAAGAAATCATCCGTCTAAATAGTCAGGATCTTGAGATACAGCAGCACAAACATATACACTTCGAATGCTCACTAGCGCTGCCTAGCGGAAGATTTCCGAATTGTTCTGTCCATCATCCTACAGTCCTTGACCTCTTGATCAACTTTGCCC